CCGCCCTCACACACTTCTCTGTTCCTTGCTTTCCCTCACCCATCCTTCCACCCGCTATTCCCAAATTTACTCCCTGACGCCTGGACCCTGCCACGACCCGGGCCCGGCGCTGGAAATGCAGAGAGAGTTGTTAACATGGAGCCTGAGGAAACCAGAACAAAGACAGGCAAGAGGGTGTGGTGGAAGGAACCTGAGTTTTGGAGTCAGGCCGACCTGAGTCGGCCTCCTGGCTCTCCCACTCACCAGGAAGTCACCAGCAATCTCAGCCTTTATTCCCCACCTGGAACGTGGACAGGAACGGGGCAGTTGTAGGGGAGAAGTGGAGCACCCGGGAGATGAACGAGCTCCAGCCAGCCTTGTGGGAGGCCACTGAGCAGGTAGACTTGGCTGTAACGGGACACGCCTGGTATCCCACTCTGGCCCTTGGGAGAAATAATTCACCTGGCCCCGAAGAAGACACTGCCAGTGAGCCAACGCATGCCCTCCGGCCCGGGCCCGGGCCCGGAGCAAGGCCTGGACGGGGAGCAGGGCCGCTCTGGCATGTAGCCGGCCTCAGCAGGGGGCTGCCTTCCCCTGCCCGGAAACGAAGCTCGAGATTCCCCAGCCAGCTGCATTTTGAAATTTTTCCAGTAGGAAAGGAAAAAAAAAAAAAAAAGCCAAAGAGTTAAAAGTCTCCGGTGAGCCCTGGGCCGCGGGGCTGGAGCGGCGCATCCCGGCCCCCTCGCCCCCCGCCCGGCTGGGGCTCGCCCCCTCCCAGAGCCAGGCGGGGCACCGAGGGGCGCAGCGGGAGCTGTCCGCCAAGCAGAGTAGAAAGGAGCACAGTCTAGTCTGTCACGTTTCATGTTTTAAAAAATCCAAACTCTGTGACTTCGCAGTGACCTGAGTCCCGTGACTGCACCCGCTGGCCCAGGGTGGGAAGCCACCCCACCGCAGTGGGGCGAATGCTGTGGGCACGTGACAAAGCAGCCAGAGAGGACGAGCCACAGGAGCCCTGTCTGCTGTGCCCCCACACCCACGCACGCTTCTCCGGGCCCTCCACCCTGCTGGCGCCCTCCACCATCGGCCGCGGAACGTTCTCCAAACGCAAGGCTGCTGCTTGGGCCCTGCCCTGCCATCTGCCTCAGAGGCTCTCCCCCCGAGACTAGCACCTGCTTCTGGCCGCCAGCTTTCTCCCTCACCTTCTACAGCAAAGGCTTCCGTGTACTCGGATCCTCTGCCCGAGTAAATCGACGTCAGGGATTTCGCCTCAGGAAATGGTTCAGACCGTGCACGAAGATTTCTATAAAGATGTTCATCACAGTGTGATTTAAAATGGTGAGAGGTGACCGACCATCAAAAGAACCAGCATTAGGATAATGTGATGAGCCTCAGCACTGATTGCAGATTGGGGGAACTTGATAAAAATCTCAGACACTTGCCTTTTTAAGAGCCCCACAGGTGATTCTGATCCACGCCAGGGTTGAGAACAACTGGGGTCACCTGATGGGATATGTGCTGCCATCATAAGTGATGATGTTTAAGGAGAGTTTTTATATCAGGTGAAAAAATGCTTAAGACATACGAAAAGGCAAAACCAAATAACTGGGAACTGGATTGCTTTGCCAGGAATATCTCAACTGTCTTTAAGTAAAAAACCCAAAACCAAAAACCAAAACCGAAATGAAATGAAAACAACCCCCCAACCCTACAGCCTAGGTAGAAACATGCTAACATGTTGCCTTAAGTCCAGATGATAGGATTATGAGTATTTTCTCATTTCTAGTTCTCTGTTACTTTAAGCTTTTTTTTTTTTTTTTTTTTTTTTTACCAAGAGCAGGTGCTATTTTTTATGACCAGAGAAACAACTAAAAGACAAGTGGCCCTACTTGCCATCCAAAACAGGCTCACCCAAGGTACCATTCCCCATGCCACCCCATGTGGCCAGTGCCCACCAACCCTCATCCCTTCTTGGGCTCACATGTGCTTTGCAGTCAATTATTTTCATTAATTCTCCAAACAATCTTGCATAGGAAGTATTGTTAGCCCATCTTTCAGGTAAGGAGAAATGCCTAGAATTAAATCTATGGTTTAAAAACCATCGTAACATGGTGATGATGCTTGGCCAGAAAACTGCAGGCCCTCTGGCTTCCCTCCTGGACTTCCAGGGAAAAAAAAGCTATTTGGGAGATGAATGGGACTGAAAGCATGACAAATCTGCCATATTTCACTGAGTCTAAGACGCAGATTTCTTCACACCATAACATCTCTGAAATCTGGATGTGTCTTACAACTGATGGAATCCAACTGTGATTGGCAGTACCCTTTCCCATTTCGTAATGGTACATCTATGACTGAATGGCAGCTTAGACTCAGTGAAACGTACCTTGTTTACAACCAAACCCATCATCGTATCCTCAAAATGCTACTTTTAATGACTATATAATATTCTAGCATATGGATATATTTCAATTTCTTTAACCAGTTTCCTGTTATGGATACTTAAGTCTGTTCCATGTTTTTACCATCATCAGTGCTCCTACCGGGAACACCTTTGCATTAAGTTTTCACTTGTTCTACTTATGGGCATCATCACTTTCTCCTTGGTCCAAATCTTGGCAGTTATTTTGACATCTCTTGCCCCTCGTCTCCCATATTTTGTATCTTCGCAGATTCATTTAGTCCTTTCTTCTTCATGGTACGTCTTCCTGGTGTCACCACCAGAGGGCTCTCTTCTGAGTGTCCTGGACAGTCCCCTGGTCTCTGCTTCCAACTCCCCTTTCAGTTCATCACTGTATCACTGGTCAAACATGACTTCAGTCTTACTGTATCTCTGCTCAAAAACTGACATTCCCTACAGGGTGAAGTTCACACTTCTAGCCTAGCATCCCAGGCTGTGTCAAATTTGGCTCCAAGCTCTCCTACCCTTTCCCTACCCAAACCCATGACCCCAGACAAAGTGGCCATGAGGGGTACTGCCTCCAAGCCTTTGCTCACTCAGTTAACTCCACACCCACCACATGAGGAATGCTCTGTCTTTTTCCAAACCTAAGCCATCAGACCCAGGTCAAGTTTCACCTTCCCTATGAAACATTTTATGGCTCATTTGATCCTTATAACCATCTGGAGATGTAGAATGATAGGTATTCTTAGCCTCATTTCACAGGTGAAGAAACTGAAGTTTAAAGAGATTAAGTGGCTTGTTCAAGGTCGCACAGCTTAGAAGCGCAGAGCACGGCTTTGAACTCCAGGGCTTCCGTGCTTAAACCCAATGACTTTTAGAGCCAAGAGCAAGTACAACCATAAACTTCTTCTGAGGAGTAACTTGTGCCCAGATCACATATCCAGCAATCCCCTACCAAGATTCAACAGTCTCTGGATTCGAGACGCATATATGACAATAATGAGATCATTTTAAGAGTGGAAATACCTCATGTCTTTCAGTTCCTAGCAATGCAAGGGAAGGACTGGGCCAGTTATCCCAGTCTCCTTTTAGAGATGGGAAGACAACAGTATTTTTCTTGAATTATACTAGCTCTCAAATTAGCACTAGACCTGACTGGTTTGGCTGGGCCCAAGGTCAGGACAAAGAATCAGGGCTGCCTCACTTGAAGATAAGCAGGACATGGGGAACTTGCTTTAATTAAGGGCTTTAGAGGACCTCAGGGAAGTAGTTCTAAGGAAGTAAAAAGAGAGTACATCCCTTCTGTTATGTGACCATGACATTGCCTGAAGCTGAGGCAGCTTAGAAAGTCAGGCCTAAGTGCTGGACGGGAGACAAGGAACAAGGAGGATGGTGGCATTAGTCTGCTGCTTCCTGAGCCCCCCACTTGGCAGAGAGTGTGCCCTGGGTGAAGGGAAAACAAGGTGTTTACTATTACTCTGGGTCTCATTTAGACACATGATGGAGTCATAGTAGCAAAAAAAAAAAAAAAAAATCTTAACAATGTAGAACTGTGGCTCATGGGGAAGCATAAGCAAGATTCACTGTCAGAGTTTGCACATGAAATGCACTGCCTGACATATAACTCAACTTTTGTCATTTAATATAATAAAAATGCTGTGGGTTAAAACCAGAAACAAACAGCCCTGGCCCATAGGCATGCGACCTATGCTGGTTCCTCACACCCACTGCAACCAGGCTGGACGTGGCTGCCGTCACCCACCGGCTCAGGATGAAGGGAGCTCTGTGCTCTTGAGAGAAAAGGGCAGTGGGCAAGGTCGCCCTCCAGCGTTCCCTCCTATACATGGTGACCCAGGCCCCCCAGGCCAAGTTCTCCATTCTCTGTGGCCAAGAGGCCAGGAGTAGGCGTTACCAGATGAAAGCTTCTCACTGAAGCCGGGAGAGTTGGTACTTTGTTTTTAGGGTTGATCTGATACCTTCGTATCTTCATATAACTTCCCACCTCACAGGGCAGGCAGGGGAATGGATGAGGCTACTGAGGCTCAGGAAGGCTGAAGGGCCACAGAGGGGGATAACATTATTCCCCAGTTCGTGGCACACCGTGTAGTCAATACACCAAGAGCACTTTGGGAGCACCTGAGCAGTGAATCCCCGGGACACCTTGCTTTCTCGAGTGTGGAGTAGAGGCCCCTTTGGAGGAAAAGGGCTTTGAGACACAGAGGGAAGGCATCGGCTTTCGGACTATTCAGCTCCTCCGCTGGTTAGCGAGTCATGTCTCTTCTGAGCCTCAGTTTCCCCATTTGTCAAGTGGAAAGGATCCTCAGAGAGCAGGCGTGTGAGAGGTCCGGGCACCGTCTTAACACGCAGCTGGCGCTACTGTCCAGGGAGGGGACGGGTCTTAACGTGCACTGGAACAGTGAGTGCTTCACACATAGCGGCATGGCCTCCTCACGCTAAGAGGAAGGGCAAAGGGAGGGCAGCGCCCTGGCCCCTCACAACACAGATGCACAACCCCTTCTGGGTGAATTCAACCACCAGATGAAGACCTGATTTCCTGTGACCCCTGAGGCACATTTCTCAGCCGGACCAAACAACTTATAAATGCCAAGAAGCTACTCACCGGCTCAATTTTCAGAGCATTTCGGTAGCTGCCGAAGAAAGCAGCCTGGGCCTTGAGGAAGGCCCTGGCCACACCGTCTCCAGTAGTTGTGGACACCTTCTTTAGCCGGTTCTTCAGGGAAGAGATCTGGTGACAGAGAGAAAGGAGACACGGGGTGAGGGCAGGGTGGGCGGATGACTGGCTAAGCCCCTACATACGGAGCTCTAGAAATTCCCTGGAAGGGGGATGGATTTAATACCTCAGCTTCTGGAGAACAAAACTGCATTCAGTATTAGGACAGGTTTCTGAAACTGAACAGAGTGTATTGAATAAGAGCAAACACAAAGCTACTTTCTGAGTAGTTTCAGTGTGCCAGGTATGTGCGTTCACATACATTTTCTAATTTAATTCTTTCCACAATCTTGCAAGGAAGGGATCGGCGTTCCTGTCTTACAAGGGTGAAACAATCCCAGAGAGAGGAACAAACCCAAGAAGTGGCCAGTTGGAACATGAATTGAAAGTCTTATAATCTAAGCCCAGACAACACAAATTTTTTTAGTTCCAATTCTACTCCCTTTTCAAATTACTTAAAAATATTGGAAATGAATGGCTTATTTATAACATATATACCTCACACCTCATACTCTAGTTATACATTAAATATATAAACACATGTGATATAGATTTATTGAATATATTATAAATTAAATGTTTATTAAATATAAGGTAAACAGATGTATAAATATATATTCTTATATCCTTCATTCTCTAAAGGAATCGTGGCAGTTTATAGAAATGTACTCAAGAGATTTAGAAAAATAGGCAAGAAAGCCATGGCACTGGGAAAAGCAGCCAGAAATATTTCGTGTATCAACGTAAGCTATAAGGTCTTACATGGTGGCTACAACTGGCCTGCAAATTTGATTTAAGAGCCTGCTAGTGGTCAAAGCAAAAAGAGAAATTCAAGTTGTGAGGTTCTTTGGGTCCATGTAGTACAAACAAGCCACTTGCACAAATGAAAACACATTTTCCTAAAAGTGAGCCTCAGAGAGATTTCTCCTATGAATCCTCAGCGCAGGAAATCCGCACGTGGGACATGATGGCTCTTGCCCTCAACATCAGAGACAACGTCAAGCTTCCTGGTCCATTTCTAACATGCTTTTCATTCATCTCAGGATGCGCACTGCGCAACTTCTGGGCACACCATTCACACTGTGTTTGTTCCACGTGAAAAGTACCCCTGGGACCTGGCAATGTGGTAGCCTCGAGTCAGTGGTGATCCAACGATGAGCAAAACCAGACCTGGGCCCTGCCCACGTGAAGCTTACATTCCGGTGAGGAAAATATCAAATGATTGTGACATATAGCCACTGTGATGAGTCTACGCTAGAGCTCACTGAGGAAGTCAACAAGGCTTCCTGGAGGGAATCAGGCTTGAAAGGAAATCTGGAGGATGAGTCGAAGTAGAACCTGGCAAAGAGGGGAAGGAACAGTGTCCCAGGCTCAGGGAAAAAAGCCTGTGGTGAGAAGGAGTTCAGAGAATAGAAAGGACTATGGCTCCAGGGGAGGGAATGATGGAGAACATGGCCTGAAACGAAGCTAGCGGCAAAGGCAGGGGTCAGAAGTGCTGTGAGTACGGTCACGAGTTTTTTCCCCTTCGTCTTAGGGAAAATGTAAACCAAACAACTGTTTTTAAGCATGCAGGAGCATATCAAGAGCACATTTCAGGAATCTGTATGGGCTTTGATATAAGATTATCTGATGGCCTAACATTATTGAAGGATAAAATAGAAAAATTAGATTCAGGTGGCCCATGAATCACCTACAAAACTTTTTGAGCCAGAGAGGGAGAACACAGAGGGAGAGTGAGAGGGAGAAGCAGACTCCCTGCTGAGCAGAGAGCCTGACACAGGGCTCAATCCCAGCACCACGAGATCATGACCTGAGCCGAAGCCAGCCGCCCAACCGACTGAGCCACCCAGGCGCCGACCACCTACAAAATTTTAATATGAATGATGATCCTTTTTCTGGGCATAGGCTCCACAGTTTTCCTCAGATCCGTAAAGGTACCCGTGAAACTAAAAATATTAAGGATCGCTGGTCTGGGATAGATTACATAGACTTTAAAAATGCTTCTTGGGGGCACCGGGGTGGCTCAGTCAGTTGAGTGTCTGACTCTTGGTTTCAGCTCAGGTCGTGATCTCTTGGGTCATGAGATCGAGCCCTGTGTCAGGCTCTGCTTTAAGAGTCTCCCTCTGCCCCTCCTGCTCGCATATGCTCTCTCAAATCAATCAATCTTAAAAACAAAATAGAAATGCTCCATGGATTTTATTTAATAAGCTTCTGATAAGGGGTTTTTATTTTTTATTTTAAAAATTTTATTTATTTGAGAGAGAGAGAGCACGAGCAGGGAGGAAGGGCAGAAGGAGAGGGAGAAGCAGACTCTCCGCTAAGCAGAGAGCCCGATGCAGGACTCGATCCCAGGACCCCAGGATCAGGACCTAAGCCAAAGGTAGATGCTTAACTTACTGAGCCATCCGGGCACCCCAGGGATTTTTAAATAGCTTATTAAGATATATTTTATATACCATAAAATTCACTCATTTGAAATATATAGTTTAGTGGTTTTTAGCATAATGACAAGGTTGTAGAACTATTATCCAACCCCTAAATATTTTTTTCTCCCCAAAAAGAAACCCATCTTACTGTCAATTACTTCTCATTCCCCACCAATCTTCCTCCCCTCCTCCTGCACCCTGTCCTACATAACCATTAATCCACCTTCTGTCTCTATGGTTTACCTGTTTTGGGCATTTCATATAAATGGAATCATACAATAAGAGCTCTTATTGTATGCACAATGCTGCACTTCAGGTGAGCCTCTCCTAATGGCCTCATTATCATTTTACACAAAGAAGTCGTTGCTGATTGTAACTGAGCAAATATGAGTGTGTGCCTGCCTGCCCGCCCCAGCTGGTTTGAAACCAGCCAAGTGGTCCTGGGCTCTTGAGTGGCTTCTTCCACTTAGCATAATGCTCCTTATAAACGAGGTTACTCCATGTTGTGGTGCTTATCAGTCCTTCATTCTTTTTCACAGCTGAATAATATTCCACTGTATGGCTATAGCACATCTTATTTACCCTCCATGGTTATCTAGTTGACAGGCGTCTGGGTTGTTTCCACATTGGGGCTATTATGAATAATGCTGCTATGAACATTCATGTAGAAACTTCTATGTGGAGACAGCAGAGATTTTGAGGCCAGAAACTGAACGGTGAAAATCCTGTTGCTGGAGCTTATAAAGATAAGCTGGAAGGACACGTGAAGTCGTGGGGCACAATGCTGGGCACCTAGTAAGTCACCACGGAGTGTTTACTGAGTAGAGAGAACACTTCCTGTGCTGTTGCTAAGGGGCTGTGCTATAACGTGAACTGAGTGAGGGTAGGGCTAAGGCTGATGTCCTTCTCTGGGATGTCAGAAGTGATGGGAATACGCAGAGAGGGGGCGGCTACCCTCTCTGGGCTTGGAGGTGGGCCAAGGAAAACCACCTTGCTCTGGAAGTGGTGGGTGTCAGTACCCCATTGACCATGACTTCCCCACTCAGGGACACGTGGCCCTGACACAGTGCCACCATGGTGAGAGCCCACGAAGAGCATGCAGGCCACTCAGTACCCGGGCAGACTCTGCCATGGACTTGCAACTTGAAATAGCAACGTGAAAACAAAACAGAACATGCTTTATTAAAATGTGAAAAATATTGCCCACTTCCCACCCTCTGAAGAATAGAAATCCTGCCTCTCCCAGGGACGAGGGTGACATTTCCATCCTTGGAACTGGTGCAAGCCGCTGTCACTCTTCTAGATCCTCAAAGGCCTTGGGCCACCTGTGCTGCAGATGATTCCTCACTTAACCTTCCCTGGCCTTTCCCTTTCATTCGGGAGGTGTTTAATTACCTTGGATTCACAACGCTGCACTTCAGGTGAGCTTCTCCTAATGGCCTCATTATCATTTTACACAAAGAAGTCGTTGCTGATTGTAACTGAGCAAATATGAGTGTGTGCCTTCCTGCCTGCCCCAGCTGGTTTGAAACCAGCCAAGTGGTCCTGGGCTCTTGGTGCCCCTGTGACCACTTAGGCCAAGACTTCTGAAGACCTCTCCTCACCCTGCAACATGGAGAAGCTTTTGTCAGCACTTCAAACTTTGAAACCTCAAGTATATGCGCATCTGATAACTGGCGATAGAATTTTGTCCTTTAAATAAAAGTGAGGGACGAAAATCGGAGGCTTAAAATAAACCACAGTCATACATCTAAAACTGAACTTGCCAGGAGTACTCATGGGGGTCCTGGTCAAATCATTAACATTGGGGTTCATCACGCATAATGTGGGGGCGACGGAAATGCTGATGAGGATGACTTCCTCCTTTAATGAGGTATCAGGAGGAAGACAGAAAACAAAGGAAAGAGGATGCTACACTGAATGCACCAGCCTCTCCTGAACGCTCCCCCCCTCCTCCTCTGTGTCCCATCTTGGCCATTGCAGCATCACCCAGCTCATCTCCTAGGCCAGAATCGGAGGTCAGATTCCATAACCCTCCTTCCCTACCCACCACCATTCTCCATATCTTATCAGCACCACCCCAAATAGGTCTCAAATCCACCCTCTCCTCTCAGTGCCTGGCGCTGTGCCATGTAGCTCCATCCCTCCTCTCTGGCCCAGATTGGTGGAGTAGCTTCCCAGATAGGCTATCTTCAGTGTCCCCTCAGTGCCGCCCACCCATAGCTGTTCCAGGAAGCTCAGAAACACATGAATCTGGTCATTTCAATCCCTCCATCAAAATCCTTCAATGCCCCCACCCTTGGCCATTACCACCTGCAGAAAAACATCCCAACTTCTCAGAGCAGTCGGCGATGCTCTGCTCACCTGGCCTCACTGCCCTCAACCCCACATAACGTATGTTGGACTGATAGCGAATTACTATTTAGAAGCATACACTATTCTCCAGCCCATACACAGGCCGGAAACTCACACAGCCTTGTCTCTTGTCCCTTCCTGTTCTATTTGTGGAAGATCTATTCACCCTTTGAAAGACCATCCAAGTGCCCATCAATGGGGGGCAATTAAGTCAATTATACCACATCCTCAGAA